AATTTTTTTTGTAGAAATTATACATTCCCCCGCAGTTAGTTTTTATTGTTTTACTCAGCTTTTTGTTTGTTTTTAGCATTTGAAAAATGATTTATCCAGATTATTTTATTAACCACTACCCTTTATTGTTTTACGCTTCGTAAATACGTTCTTTCTACGTTTTATAATTTGTCAAAAGTTAATATGCTATAGCATTTTGTAGTTAAAAACTGAAGAAATAAAAGAGAAGGATTTAAATTTTATAATGTCGATTTTCGCATTATATAATGAATGGTAATAAAGGTTCTGATTTGTGAATCAAAGTGTCCAAGGCTCAGTACAAATGATCCTGAGATGACTTAGACCCTGAAATGATCTAGATGTGTATTTCTGTATAACGGCTTTCACATAATATTTAAAAAATATATAGACATCCTTTCTATCGCTGAACAATTATGAAACTTCATGTTTAAAAGGAGAGAAAGAAAGAAAAGATAAAAGAAACAGTTTCAAATTTGAAGGAATTAGAAGAAAGAAATACTCTTACCTTGTTGTCTTTTACTCTGTGTTTCGACAACTAAATCTTACAATTCTGGCTGGCAGTCTTAATATGAAGAAAAAAATGAAGTGTAGTATCAATATATCATAATATTCATTAGTTTTATTATTATTTCGTAGCTTAGTAATCATTTATCCCATTGTTTACCTGTCCATTGGTCGGGTAAAAAACTATTTAACCAAACAAAACATTAAATTGGTCGGTGTCTGGGAATAGTTTGTTATTATGGTCGAGACTGACCAATTAGTTTATCTGTCATGCCGAGGCAATAAGCGGTACCTTGGCACTAGTTATGTCAATAGAATCTCTTGTTAACGACAACACACAAAAYTGATTTGCCGTTATTGCAACGAGCAAAGGCCTGGGTCCGAGTTCGAGAAACTTATCGAATAAAGATTCCGAAAACACATCCTATAATCACACRATAAGAGCGACATAAAAGATAGATGTATAGATAGATTCCTTTATTTAAACAGGGTATCTCCCTCAGTATTTACAAAACTGTAAAAAACTGTTATGAATAGAGGCCCTAAAATAAAACAATTAAAAAAAAATAATAATAATAATAAATATACAATGAAATTAATTATGCTCAGATAAGTACTATGAAGGTAAAGTGATTCTATTTATATATAATGAAATTATGCTAAGATAAATACTATGAAAGCAGAGTGACTCTATTCAACCCATGAAAAGGCGTATAGCCAGAGGGAACAAACATGAACAGAACACATTGTCCACCACTATCCATAAGGTCTCTTCCACGGGCTAATTAAAATCGCTCAAACGCAAGTAATGAATATATAATAAATCTACATATCTACTAAAAACTATGCAGCCATGAGAAAAAAAAGGCCTTTTTAGTTCCTTCAAGTTTTACAGCCTAAGTTGGTCACTCTGCCTTGTGTTTCTGGATAATATATCTCTATTATAATTAAAATAATTCATTAAAAATTGCGGACAGTGCTTTTTTTAAGCATTTCTTTACCAAGTTAAGAACATGGCCGTCGCGTCTGTGTTTAAGTGTCACACAATTAAGTTTCTCTAGAGCTTCGTCACTACTATTTGTACGAAGAAGTTAACTGACCAAGTTTCAGGATGTTTGGTCTATTAGAAACATTGTTACAAGCACTCACACCTTGCCAAAACTACAATGAAATGTATGGATTCCTTCCAAACGTTCAACCACTAACACACTGACATTCTCTGTATACCAGTAGCAACCTTGAAAAATATTCTAATTTTGCTTCAATTTTGCCCAAGCTTGCGGAATTTTTAATTTGTACTCATTCTTATGTGCTGTTTTTTAACATGGGGTCTGTTTGTAATTTAATTCAATCAGTCGAGAAACTCGGTTTCTCCCAAAGCCTATTCGATTTACCGGCGACAAAATTAATAATGCAATTAATGTTAAWTGAAAATTGTAAAGAAAAGAGCAATAAATGAAATGAGAGAAGCAATATAATCAGAGAAAAGCAAAGAGCAGATAAGAAGACGTTAAAGGCCACTGGTAACCTTCAGGGGTGGTTCTCTTAAACTTTCTCTTTACCAACACGTTTAACACCCTTTTTGTATAACCCTTTTYCTTATTCACATAGTGAAATTCCTTTGGCTATACGCGCTAACTCCATATTCATTAATTCATCTCTACTGAACGTGCCCGATTTGTGTTTAAAGCTCCGGCATTGTTTCAAATTAAAGAACAATCGCTTTCAAATAATATCATTTTCGAAATCTTTATCATATGGCCTTTAAAACGATATATCGTTTTATGTGGTTTTGTTTAAAGTGTTGAGTAGAGTCTTAAACAAAACATACCCAGAAAGGTCTCCAGTAACCTTAAGGTGGCTCCATAAGCCCCGTTTACACTAGCGATTTTTGCGGCGATTTTTGCGGCGATTTTTGCGGCGATTTTTTTTGCGATTTTGTCCATATTAATAAATAATGGTAAAGAATTTACTTGTAAAGTTTTATTCATGACACCAAGATTTTCCTAGACGAATATCTCGTTTGAAGGATGAGACAAAATATTTCATATTTCTGGAAATTGCCACAAAAATCGCCGCAAAAATCGCCAGTGTAAACGGGGCTATATAGTTTTTGTTCGATTGTGCACGAGCATGCGCAGTACCAGAACTTGAAGAATTTTCATTTTGATGACGCCACGAAAAGTCGGTTGCATGCGTTATTAGAAAATAAAAATAAAAACTCGAAAACTACGTGGTCAAATATCTTTAAATTTCTACAGTTTTTTCTTCATAGAATGATTAGGCAACTGACGCAATATAAAAAATGTTTGTACTCAGAAAACGTTTTGAAAAATCGATATTTCTTTAATATCTTGGTTTCTGTAGTCACGATTTTAATAAAACGCTGTTATATAATAGGTAACAAAACAAACTTTCGTATTACACAATCTAAAAAAGATTGACAAAGGGAAACTCGACATTTTAATTTTKTAATGGCAATAAGGGCCCGTATTGTGGCTGACGTGTCGCTGCTATGGTAACTATTCACGGATCATTTTAACGAGAAATGATTCCTAAACTCATAGTCTTTAAATATGGTGAGTGTATCAGACATCAAGATATAGATCTGTATTTGCTATGAAATAAATACTAGTTCTATTACTCTAAA